GTTCCTCAAAATATTGGGGGTGGTAGTTATAAGGGAAATATGGGTTATACATAATGATTTAGATAAGAGTGCCTTAGTCTATACTATGCAACAACGGAATCATAATATTGACTGTTGGTCCCCGGCAACGGCGCCAAAAACTTGATGCGTCCGCAAGTGCACGGAAATATCGAAGTAATATAAAAGATTGTCGAACCCACAGAGACCAATGTCAACCTACTGTTATCTATTGCTACGGTGTAAAGCTAAGGCTAATGTAATTAGGAAAGTTAAATGTGGATGAAACTAAATTTAAAGGAACTAAAGATTTTTGGTTTAAAGAAATACGGTAAAGGGATATCGGTATGCAAGGACTTAGTTATTAGGGATTCGACAGGTCACCGGTGCTTTTTAATCTTTGCAAACACTTTTCAGGAGAAAATACTCGTTTAAAGACCTTTTCCTCACGATGGTTGTTGACTCGGGTCATAATTCTAAGGCGGAATGTACGCTTTCGCAGTCTCATTCGGGGTTTAAACTACTCTTTGAAAACAAATAAATTCTAATTTCTTTTAAAGCTCTTTCGTTGTATTTAAAACAAATGCCTAGTTGTTACTATCTGGTCCTAGCCTCAGCTTTCGCGTGTCGGTTCATACCTTAATGAATCTCCCACTGTCGTGGCGAAACTACTGTAAATAATTTTTCGCTGTCGCGATGAAGGTTTATTTAGAAATTACGATTAAAAACTACGGCCCGAAAGGTAGTTTGTAAAAAGGTAAGGTGCACTGGGTATCATCGAATCCCGTCCTACTAATTCGGTTACATACCTATAAAACTAATTTAGCTAGACATGATAATTAATGCAAACATAAATAAACAATGGCAGCAGAATAATATAACATGCATAATGACAGAAATAAAATAATGATTCAATTAATAAAAACCTGTAAATCATACTGATCTCGAATCCTTGAGTAGTCCTCCACAATGTCGGCAGGATTCTACTTTGGCGAGAATTAAAAGGTACAGGAAGAAAATACAATGTTCTGAACTAAAGGAAAATGGAAAGGAAATAAAAGAAAACAATAAAACTGGGAGAAATAGTTTCAGTAGAAATCTTGGCAGCACTTCGATACCTCGAAGCCTCCCCCCAGAAACTCTGAATCTAAGGCCTATTTATAGGAGATAATTCATTCTTCAACTTCTAGAGATCATGGGTGAGTTATGGAGGGAGTGGGAGTAACTTCCAGTAGTGGGCAGTGAGTGGAGAAAGTGTAGGAAGAAATCTTAGAGAGAGTGATCATGGCAAAAACTGATTTGAACATTAAATGATATTTCGTCTGCGTGACGCTCGTAATGGAACGTGACGGTCGTCATACGCATGACGGTCGTAATGGACCTGTGACGACCGTCATATCAGCAAAATCCATTTTTTCTGTTTTTCTTCTCTCTTTTCCTTCCATTTCTTCTTCTTTTCTTTCTTTAATCCAAATTCTCCCCAATCTGCAAAATGAAGTAAATTAATCATATAATAGAACATAAATCAAGATAAATTAATAATAGTCACAAATAAATGCATGTAAATCAAGCCAAATAAACGATATGATTTCGCGTTATCAGTAGGATGGGGTTTGGAATGAAATGGCTAAGATGGATGGAGGGTTAAAGTTTTCAAAAGCAACATGTCCATTCTAATCAATGGAAATCCAACTCAAGATTTTGAGGTGTCTAGAGGTCTGGGGCAAGGTGATCCACTATCACCATTCTTGTTTGCCATTGTAGTTGAGGGTTTGGCTGGAATTATGAAGAATGTTGTGGACACCAACGTTTTTAGAGAATTCAGGTTGGATGATAGACTTGAAGGACCTTTCTTCAACTTCTTACGGTTTGCGGATGACACTATCATGATTGGAGGTGGATCATTGAGTAACTTATGGGCTATTAAATCCATTTTAAGAGCATTTGAGATGGTTTCTAGACTAAGGATCACAATTTAGCAAAAGCAAATTGTATGGTATTAGTTTGACTCCTGATTTTTTGTTGGCAACTTTCAATTTTCTCTTTTGTAGCATAGACAAAATTTCATTCAAATTCTTGGGGATCAAGGTGGGAGTCAATCCAAAGAGAATTGAAGCTTGGCAACATATCATCTCTAATTTGAAGAGCAAGCTTTCTAGGTGGAAGGCCAAATTCCTATCATTAGGTGGCAGATTTACACTCTTGAACTATGTACTTAACAATCTACCAATTCAGTATATTTCCTTCTACAAGATGCCAAAATCTTTCAAGAAGAGAATCATTAGCATTCAAAGACATTTCCTTTGGAATCATTCAAGAGAGGGCAAGAGAATCAATTGGATCAATTGGAAAACGGTCTGCAAAAGCAAGGAAGAAGGTGGTCTTGGTGTGAAGGAGATAGGAACCTTTAATCAAGCTTTGATGTGCAAATGGATTTGAAGATTTTTCAATGAAGAGGATGCCATATGGAATGGAATTGTGTCACATAAATATGAAGGAATCATTAACAGACTGTGGTTGGATATTGACAAATGCCAGGCCTCCCTACAATCATTATGGTGGAGGGACCTCATGATCATTGGCAAAAATCTAAAGGGCAATGTGGAGAAAAGAGTTGGAATAAAGCATATGGTCAAATTCAGAATTGGTAATGGTGTTTCAAACCCATTTTAGAAAGGCATTTGGATTGGTCCTTCATCCTTGGATGTTATTTTTCTTGTCCTTTATTCTCATGCAGTAAACAAATTGGCCATGGTATGTGATTATGTAGTTTGGTTACATGGTGTTTGACATTGGCAATTTGAGAAGCTTGGATCTTCCCTGGATCCAAATTTTGCAACTGAACTCCAATATATGAAGATGATATTGACAAAGATCACTCCTAATATGTTAGAAAAGGATCAACTCATTTGGGTGGCTCTTTCTCATCACATTTTTTCTGTCAAAAACTGCTACAACAACATGCAAATCATTGAGGCACAACAAGACCATCATGAGCAGTTGAATGCTAATTGGAAGAAACTATGGAAGATGAAGGTTCCCTCAAAGGTGAAGGTTTTTTGTTGGAGATTATTTCACAACAGGCTTCCCACACGAGAGCAGCTCCTTAAAAGAAACATCATCTTGGATTCTACCTTGGGCAAATGTGCACTATGTAATGGAGATCTTGAATCAATAGATCATTTGATGTTTAACTGCCCGGTTTCATCATTGGTTTGGAAGTATGTGTGGGAATGGATTGACTTGTCTACACCATTGACAATACATTGTACTATGGACTTCAAGATGGTGTTGAATGCTTTCAAAGAGAATGGTCGAAAACACTGCGAAGGAGCATTGTGGATGATCTCTTGTTGGTACATATGGAATAAGCGAAATGTTGTTATTTTTAAAGAAGAATCTTGTCATGCAAGAGACATTGAGTTTTACATTAAATCCATCTCTTTGCTTTGGTTTAATCTTCTCAAAAAATCATACTCATATAATTTCTATGAATGGTGCATTGCACCATTAAACTTTCTCATGTAATTACATTAGTTTAGCTTTGGCTTGTGGTGTATCATCACTATTTTGTTGTCTTTCTCTTGTATGTTGATTTGAGTAGATATTATACTCATCAATAAATTTCTTTACTTATAAAAGAAACAGTTACTTTTCATGATGCAACTTTTGATATGTTTGTTGTGTTCCAGCCTCGTGTAAGATTAGTGTGTATTTGACTTCTTTATTAGTGTGTATTTGACTTCTTCTTTTTTATTGATCTTTGGATGCTTCAGCTATTGTTGGATTGTTGGTATATGTTTTCTCGTTTTACAAATATGAGAATTAGCAAAATATTTATATGTCCGATTGTTGGTATATGTTTTCTTGTTTTACAAATATGAGAACTAGCAAAATATTTATATGTCCGCAAATGTTATTATGCAACCTTGAATTATAATAAAATGTAGTTATAAATTACAATATATCTGAGGATCATTTTAAGAATAGGAGTTGAACTTCGTCGTTTCTACGACATAAGAAAAAAGAAAAATTTAAGATTTGCTGAATGACAATTTATATTCATCCTCTCTTGATATCACTTCAAAGTCTTACAATATTGACATTCTATTGAGCGGATCACCGAGATCATAATATTCTACATAAAACAAAAAGCACAATAAGTGTATATATTAATGGATATTGTCAAGAAATACCTTCAATAGTTCCCTTTGAAGCATGGTGCATAGGAAAGGGCTCATCAGCTATTGTATATAAGGATTTTTAATAAAACATATGCAAGTGGTCACAAGTAGCAAGTGGTCTTAAAAGGATTATCTTCCAACAAAAACACATAAATTGTGGATAATAAAATATTTGACTTGCAACCAAATATTGAAAGTTATGGAAACTGATATTCATAGTTAATAAAGAGAAATTAACATGTTAAAGGTAGTCAGATTCACACTGTCGTTGCCGACCAGAAAATGGAATTGTGTTTGACTTCAATCTGCAGAAGAAACAGACATGACCATTGTCATGTGAAGTGTTATGTCTTAGTTATGGAAGGAGACTGAAAAGTTGAGTAGGAGAAATGGTTGGATGATGTTATGTTGTTGATTCTTTTCGAAAAGTCAAAATGGAAAATATATATTTTAGTTTTTATCTAAAAGAAAAAAAGAGAAAAAAAAAACAGATTTTTTAAAAGGCTTTTTCCCCATGGAATTGATTCAATTGTAACTGAATATTGTAATAACCAAGTTTCATTGATATCACAATTGAATTTTGTTTAGTTTGATTAGCAAAGAACTTCACTATGTACTTTTTGGAATTGATAGCACATGTCACAAATAGGATATGTATTATAGCATAAAGTAAAAGACAGTTAACCTCTTATAAGCTTCACTTGTTGCACTTTAGCAACATCGAGCATAGTAACACAAACATCCATCAAACATCAACTAGGAACAACATATTGCCACAACTAGGAACAACTTGAAAAAAAACAAAAGAATTCCATCTAGTTACTGTGCCACAGAAGGAGGATCGACTTGGCTGCTAGATAATGCTTTTAACCTGCATATCATCAAAATGGAACATCAGTTAATCAGAAGAAAACATGCAACAGCGGGTAAAATTTACAAATTCGCAGGACACATCAAACAGGTAACTGAAAAAGTTGGAAAAAAAATACAGCAAATGAAACAAAAAGAAATAGCAAATAGATACTTACTCAGCTTCCATCCGTGCCTTCTTATTAGCCTTGTAATTGTTCCTTCTACGCTTTTTTGCACTCACAGCATTATCAACCGGAAGTGCACTGTCTGGCTGCTCAGAACCATTTGGAGACTTTGCAGCTTCAGGTGCTGACTCAGGTTTTGGCATCTCAGGCTGTTGATGTGTGGAAACAACTTGGCCAGGCTCAGAACGTGCGGTTTCAATATTATCATTACCCGCAGGATCAGCAATGCCCTTGTTTTCATCAGTCAATTCCTGGACAAGCTCAAGGGAAAGTGCAGTCTTTTCTAGGGGCGAGACAATTACATTATCACAAGTGGGCTGCAAGGTCTTTGATTGAACAGACTTGAAAAGCATAGCTTTTGCCTTGATCATCTGAACCAGCATAATCCCCGAGTCGGATATATCTGCATTAAATATTTGATCGGAAAAGAAACTGCATACCTGCTCTTAAGTTAAGAAGTCTACTATAAAATTCTTGTAAAGGAATCAAAAGGATACCTAGGATTGAGAGAATAGCGGCACGAGCTGCTAAATCCTCCGCTTCCTTTTTTCTTCTAGCTGCTTCTCCAATGTAACTTGTACAGTTGAAATCCATAGTACATACAAAATATGGAAACTGCTTTTTATACTCCACAGTATTGTATGTAGGTGGTTTTACATTGAGCTTTATAGCATACTCGTGTAGCATTCCCTTGCAAAATGTAACACTCTGAAATACAAAAGCAACAAGAAGTCGGATAAATTAAAAAACTAGTATTCACCTATATAAGACCATGCGCAATCGAAACAGGCAATAAATTTAAATTAAGCCATCATATATAGGAATGCTACTTCACCAGCCGTCATTACTTCCTATTTACAAAAGCGTAAGATATTGTTAAAATTAACGTGTTGTAACCACCACTATCTTTAGTAAGCATTATGAGAGAATTGTAATCATCCCATTATAATTATTGTTTTTAATTAGATTTATGGCAGAGTTGTATCATTAAGATTGAAAGAACCAAATAGTCCTCATCTTAATTACCAACCTATTGTATTCTCTATCAGGTTCCTTCAAGCCTATATAAAGGCATTGTAATGCTAAGTTGTATGCAAGCAAAAGAAACAAGAAAAAAGAGAAAGGAAAAAAAGAGTGTGTGGTGAATTCAATAAAATCAGAGTATTTTAAAGTATAACTTCGACTAGTGGAAGTTCAGTGAAAAAAGTGGCTAAAAAATATTTTCTTACTCTAAATTCTGCACCAATATATTTTATCATATACCACCTCTAGAATACCACCAACAGTGTGGTATCAGAGCTGCAGATCCTTGCAGCTGCAGCAAAAACAACAAAAAATATGGCTTCCACAATTAACTTTTACACAACTTATAGCAATGTTAAAGTTCCTTTGTTTGAAAGAGAGAATTATGATTTTTGGACTGTTAAAATGGAGACTCTATTCACCTCGTTGGATGTCTTGGAGTTCGTCCAAAATGGGTATGAAGAACCAGCACCAACAGAGACTGGAGAATCAAAAGAAAAGGCTGAAGAATCAAGCCAACGACTTGAAGAATTGAAGAAGAGGATCACAGATGCTGGAGTTCTCGGGATGATTCAACAAGCAGTCTCTGTATCCATTTTCCCAAGGATTATGAGAGCAAAACCATCAAAGGGAGCATGGAATATTCTACAACAAGAGTTTGAAGGAGACTCAAAGGTTAGAACTATGAAACTTCAATCTTTTAAGAGAGACTATGAAAATGAAAGAATGAAAGAGAATGAAAGTTTGAATGAATACTTTAATATACTCTCTGAATTGGTGAATCAAATGAAGTCACATGGAGATACAATAGATGATCGCAGAATTGTTGATAAAATTCTGATTAGTTTGAGAGAAAAATTTGATCATATTGGTGGCTGTTATAGAAGAAACTAAGGACCTATCAACTATGTCTGTTCAAGGATTGATGGGATCTTTGAGATCCTACGACCAAAGGTTGTTACGACACTCTGAAATATCAGTTGAGAGTGTCTTTCAATCTAAACTCAACATTCACCCCAACAATGGTGAAAATAAGTCCCCCAATACAAAATATAGGTGAGTCTTTTAGATGTGGCAGATTTGGAAGAGGCAGAGGCAGAGGAAGAAACTCACGACGAAGAGGCACGAATGGCGGAAGATGGCATGAAGGAGCATCAAATAAATGGTGCAAAATTTGTAAGAGTAGCACTCATGACGAGAAGGATTGCTGGAACAAGAGCAAACCACAATGTCACAATTGCAAGAGATTCCGGCACATTCAAAAGGATTGTCGTTTTGCCAATCAACAACATACTTCATTTGCAGAAGGACAGAAGGACAAAATAATGAAGGTAATTTGTTCCTTGTCAAAAAACATTTCAAGAAGATAAAAATGTGTGGTATTTAGATAGCGGTTGTAGCAATCGTATGGCCGGAAAGAAAGAAGCTTTTATCAACATTGATTTTTCATTTGCCTCAAAAAGTTAAATTAGGAAATCGAGAACATGTTGAAGTAAAAGGAAAAGGCAGCATTGGATTTACAACAAAGTAAGGAAGCAAAGTCATTCATGACACTCTTTATGTGCCAGAGTTAGATGAGAACTTGCTAAACATTGGACAGCTTTTGGAGCATGGCTATTCTCTAAATTTTGAGAATCGAGAGAGTGCAGAATTTTTAATTCAAAGAGAAGAAGTGTTGCTGTTGTAAAAACAACTAGCAATAGAAACTTTCCACTTTCTCTTATTTATGAGAAAAATTTGATCATGACGCCTAGAGAAGATAATGACTCTCTTTTGTGGCACAAGAGACTTGGGCACTTGAACTACAATAGTTTCAAGTTGTAACCACCACTATCTTTAGTAAACATTATGAGAGAATTGTAATCATCACATTATAATTATTATTTTTAATTAGATTTATGGTAGAGTTGTATCATTAAGATTGAAAGAACCAAAGAGTTCTCATCTTGATTACCAACTTATTGTATTCTCTATCAGTTTCCTTCAAGCATATATAAAGGTTTTGTAATGCTAAGTTGTATGCAAGGAAAAGAAGCAAGAAAAAAGAAAAAAAGAGTGTGTGGTGAATTCAATAAAATTGGAGTATTTTAAAGTATAACTTCCACCTGTGAAAGTTCAGTGAAAAAACTAAAAATATTTTTCTTACTCTAAATTCTACAATAGTATATTTATCGGATACCACCTCTAAAATACCACTAACACATATTAATAACAATGATGGAAACTCCAGTACCATATGCAACAAAATTAAATCTAATAAAGATACTTCTTTTCAAAATATTATAAATCTTTCTATGGAAAACCCATACATTTCATATTAGCTGTTACTCATTGATTCCACGAAAGAGTGTAATTTAATGTTGTCACACGAGAGACATACAACCAACAACAAATTAACAGGCAAACAAAATTTATTTTAATTTCGAGCATAAAATCCATTCAAACAGACAAGTTCCATCCTGGCAAGCAATAACTATGAACAGATAAGTAAAAACATGTCAGCTCTTCAGAGAATGCTTTTTTTTCTCAATATCTAGAGAAATTTCGTTAGAAAGAATAAAGAAAACATACTTCTACGCAGGGTTTTAAAAAAGGTTTGCAATCGCGTCGCGGTTGCATGAAGACTTTTAGGATTTCTGCCGGTACAAGTGTCGTGACACTGATTACAGTTGTTACGGTGTGAATTAACCACAATTTGTTCTTTAACATAAAAACGGTGATAACAGTATCAGTATCGACATTCGTCAATTTTTCACGGTCACGGACCGTTTTTTAGAACCCGGCTTCTATGTGCAAAAAATAAAAACAAAATCTTCAAGTTACAAAGCATCGACACAAGTTACTTTGCCAACCAAATAGAGGCACCACATAACAACAAACCTAACAATCATACCACTATCAACCAACATTAACCCAAAAATAAACCGAATAAGCATCTTCTGAAACTGATAATTAACAATACAATAGATTGAATTGAAACAATTAAACAAACCTTGGAAATAATCGAGCGGCCTTCGTCTTTAGTCTTCTTGACCAGATACTCCAACGCAACCCTGGAGACTTCCTGCTCAGCAGCTCTTAGATGGAAGAAAGTAATTGGCAAAGTGAAAACCAATCCATCTGCCAACACACTGCATCTAAACTCAGGTGCATGGCTTGCTCCCTCGTTATGCGATCGGAACTCAGGCATTGCAATGTTTGCCCTCTGTGTAAACTGTATCAATAGATTCTTATAATTTGCTGCGAGAAACCATTCCATTATATCAGATACAATTACAACAGCAACAAAAGAAAACTCATAAAATCCTACAGATACAACTACAACTACAAAAAATTCAAACATATTCATAGAATCATAGCTTAAGCTGTAAAATTGAAAAGCAAAGAGACAGATCCGAGAAATTGGAGGACTTACGAGTAGGGATGAGCTGAGGAGGAAGTCCGTGTTCAGCTGAGAGTGAAGCTGGACTTGGCAGTTGAGAAGACGGTGAAGCCATTGACGAGAAAAGCAAGGTTTCGTTTCTAGGGTTTGAACTTGAAGCATAGAGTTTACCGGAAACGAAATGGATTGAATGTACGCAAATTTATGGAAAAGGTGAAGAAAAAAATGACTTTTCCGTTTTCGATGCTATATTTTTGTAACATGCATTTCTAAAGTTTATATAATAAAAATAGGGTAATTCTAACTTATGTTCTAGAAGCACAGGTTAAGAACTAAATGTAGAAATTTTTTCTTGAAACTTGTGTATTATTTTTATTAAAAGTTTATAATTAATTTTTTTATTATTTTTTCTAATATAAATTTTTTATTTATGAATTTTTTAACATGTGTTCTAGCACAAGTTAACATTGTCCTACGAGATAAATAAAAATGATATGTTAAAATGGGTAATGTATCTAAGATAAAATTAAAACCAATCTATTCTATGAATATGCTTATTCTAGAAAAAGTTATTAGAGGAAATGTACACATATATCATCTCACGAAAGTTACTAGGACCAATTTAACCTTATGTGAATGTGTACTATTATTATTTTTGGCTTAAATACATTTTTAGTCATTCTATTTATAAATTTTTAACATTTTAGTTTTTTTTTAATTTTTTTTCAGTCTTTTAGTCTCTCAAGTTGTCACTTTTTGAGATTTTTTTTAGTCTCCCTCCTATTTTGATTAAGTGACGCTCAAATGGTGATTAGACATGCTCAGTTAGATGCTAAGTCATTTAAATAGTTGTCATGTCATTTATAAATTTTAATAGAACCTTAATATTTTAAAAAATAAAAATTAATGTTAAACAATCTATATAATGAAGAACGTTAATTTTATGTGTTTATCCCTTTATTCATCTCTAGAAATTCTGCTACTACTCCTTATCCTCCACGTATTATACTTCATCTTCTCCACATCTTCTACATTGTCTTGTCCATGTCTGGTTTTTCACAAGCAAGCAGTCGCACAAAATCCCATTCGAACTTCAAATCGAACCATGGCGAATGTCTGTGCAGCCTAGAAGCACCACTGCTGACAACATTGATTGATTCTAACCCAGGACGACGCTTTTATGGTTGTAGAATGTATAAGGTATTATTTGTCTATGATTTATCACTTCTACTTTCTCCAATCATGAAAATGTCTTACGTTTTTTCTTCTTATATGTCGCATGCAGCTTGTGGGACAAAAGAGGTGTGGCCATTTTGTTTGGTATGACGAAGAGATGACCCCAAGAGTAAAAGAAATGATTACATCTTTGAAGGAAAAATTATGCTCAAAGCAGAATAAAGTTAATGAATGCAGGGTCAAAGAGGATGAGTTGAAGATGAATATCAAGTTCCTTAATATGCAACTGAAGTTTACATGTGTTATGAGCTTTGTAATGTTTTTAAGTTTAGTTGTATCAAGTGTAACGAAGTAGGTTGTGCATAAAAAATGATGTTGTATGTTTATGGTTTAGTTGTAACAAGTGTAATGAATTTGACAGTATGAATGTAACCCATGAATTGATGAATGTGAATGCTGATTTTTGGTTTAATATGTTTATAGTTCATATGAATGTAACCCATGAATTGATGAATCAGAATGAAAATGATTTTTGATTTATTCTATGGTTTATGTGGTATAATAGTTTTATGGTGTTTATAGCAGATTATTATAGCAGATGTTGCTTATAGCAGATTATTATAGTAGATGTTGCTTATAACAACTTATTATAGCAGATTATTATATGGTATAATGGTTATATGGTGTTTATAGCAGATTATTATAGCAGATGTTGCTTATAGTAGATTATTATAGCAGATTATTTCATAGAGATATCATTCAAGTCATTACATAGACAATAACTTGTTCCAAAAAGTCATTACATAGACAATAACTTGAAATTACATAGACAATAACTTGAAATTGAGCATTACTTCATAGAGATATTATTAAAGTCATTACATAGACAATAACTTGTTCCAGTACTAGAAATTACAAATCACAAAGCACAATAACTTGTCATTACATGGACAAAAACTTGTTCCAATACTGTATAATTAAGTGATTACAAAATGACACAAACCACAAAATGTCATGAAACCTAACTATTACAAACTGACATGAAGCACATAGAACCTAATCTTGAGAAGGTTGAGGTGCTTGTGATCAGTTCCCAATTTCTGTTACAGTTGCCTTTGTCTTCTTTCCACCTTTTGTTTCAAGTTTCTGTCTCTTTCCATCCTTTGATGCATTGCCCTTATTCTTGTTACCACCTTTGGGAATGACTCTTCATCAACCATTTTTCCTTTGCAACTCCTTTTGTTGTGTCCCATGGCACCACATATATGACAACTCACAATTGTAAGCTTCCTAGGAAGTACATGTGGATTTCTTGGTTCATCATTCACTTTGTTTCTCAGCTTCTTAGGTTGGCCAATGGCCCTTCTGAGCACTGGTGGTTTGATTGGTACCTGACCCTCCAAAAAAGGCCATAGTTGGGGCCCATTTGTAGGGTAGATTATATGTGAATAATTGTTGTTGAAAAAAAACTTCCTGCACAACCAATAATAAACATATTTAATCATACTAAGCAAACATAATAAACAAATTAATATGGTGAGTGCACAAACCTGTAATACTCAGAGACATAATCTTCAAGGTTTTTTTTCTTGTTTTGCCATATACATGATATGGCATAACTACATGGAATACTAGTCAAATCCCATTTTCTGCAAGCACATGTCTGCTTTTTCAAATCTACAGAGTATGTCTCTATGCCATTGATGACACCAAATATGGACAAATCATCATCACCATGCCATGTAGATGTCCAACCTTCTGCATGTTTTTTGTTCTTTTCAAGAAGAAATTAAACTCTAGGGCAAATATCACCTGTGTATGTATTCATAAGCTCTTTTTTACTAGTAATTGTAACACCCCACTCTAAACTATCGCGGAAAATAAGATAAACAACAGAAACAATTCAGAGTGCAGCAAATAAAATCTCATGACGACCGCCAAGGATGTCACAACCGTCACGGTCATGACGAGCGTCATGGAGCTGTGACGACCGTCACACTCCCAAATTCTCAGACGCAGCAGAGGTGTCACATTCTACACTTAACCAAAACACATACACCTGCAAAAGCTCATTTACTAACATACGTAGCATAAAATTCGGATGAACAAACAACGGTAACTTGTTTAACATTTTAATCATAAACGCCATGTTATAATACACTTCCAACGATTCGTACTAATTAAATTCCATTAAAATTCAGCAAGTAATTATCTTGCATCAATTCGCTAAAACAACTATGCATCCAAGCAACATTTGGCCTCAGCAACAAGGAATTCAATTAAAACAATAACATTAATCGTTCATCCCCCCAGAGTGCTACGTATCAGAGCGACCAACGACCTTAAACATAAAGCTACACTTTCTTCCGAGTTACCTGCAAATTACCACCAAAGGAAGTAACATACAACGTAAAGGGTGAGATATCAACAACATAACATAAGGCATGATAAAAGTCATGTCAGAATATTATCACAGCATTATAATTCCAGCAGTTCGCATAAATATTAGTAATAATAACTACAACCACTCTTTATTCATAACCACAACCATTATCATCATATCTCAGCAACTCATCAAAACAACTCAACAACGCAATTCAACAATGCGACTCAACAATGTGACTCAACTGTGCATATGCATGTGGTACCATTTTGGGAGACAACACTCCACAATAATTCGGGAGACAACTCTCCACAATAATTCGAGAGACAACTCTCCACAATAATTCGGGAGACAACACTCCACAATAAATCGGGAGACAACTCTCCACAACCATTTTATTTTGTCATTAAAGACACAACCGTCGCCAATCCAGGCCAAATGATATGCTATGAGATGCAACTATTATGGACTATAACACAACAACAACAACTGTGCAACAACCGTGCAACAAGGCATCACGCCTACAACCAATTATCCATAACAGAAACATCACATTTTGCATATATTATGGACTCACCATTTCAATCTGTTCATATCAGAGAACTGCCAACAGTCTCGTTCCTACGAATAAGACTCTAACACATTTTCGCAGAGAACAATTAAAAACAACCTCGTCTCTACAATCGAGAACTCAACAGCATTTTCATGTCAAAGAACAACTGACAACATCATTACTACAAATAAGAACTCAACACATTTTCATATACCTTCATACGGGTAATATAACTACAACTTATCCACGTAATCCAAGGAGAAAATCATAATAACATTTCCTCAACAAATGGGAAATTAGCGCGTGTCGGCGCCGATTCCCAACATTACTACATAAACTAACGACATAAACATTAATGCAGGCGTAGACAAACATTAACCCTTAATATTTCTCAACCTACGGGAATATTTACCCTTAATATTCCTTTAATATTTCTCAACCTACGGGAACATTACTACGGTAACGTTACTACGGGGACATCACTACGGGAACATTACTACGGGAACATTACCACGGGAACATTAATCTTTAATATTTCTTTCTTCAACTTACGGGAACATTACTACGGTAACGTTACTACGGGGACATCACTACGGGAACATTACTACGGTAACGTTACTATGGGAACATTAATCTTTAATATTTCTTTCTTCAACTTACGGGAACATTACTACGGTAACGTTACTACGGGGACATCACTACGTATTTGCCCCATTAGGAAAACCTTAGAGCATCGTATATAACACCTTCATTCTTACATAGAAAAACCTCGTCCCTAACATTTATCGATTAACGGAAATTATACCTATGAATCAATTCCCTACATGAAATTGATCATACCCACGGTTATAGAATTGAACCCCACCCTTACCTTAGAATAGAGGCCAATTCCAAGCTTCCGGTTCTGGTTCTGCTCTCCGGCGACTTTTCTGCAACTATCTTCCAATTCCCTGATGGATGATTCTCTGCTCTCCATTTCTCTCAACAGCCACGTTCCTTTTTC